TGAAGTAAAATAAAATGAAATAAAGTGAAACGAGATTAAATAAAATAAAACGATAAAATAAAACGAAATAAAATAATGTAAAATAAAATAAAAATATAATAAAATAAAATGAAATACGAAATAAAATAAAATGTAATAAAAAAATAAAATCAAATCAAGCCATATGAAGTGAAATAAAATGAAATAAAACAAGGTGAAATGAGATTAAATTAAATAATAAAATAAAATAAAATAAAGCCAAACAAAGTGACATAAAATAAAATAAGATAAAATTAAATTAAATTGAAATAAAATAAAACCAGTAACAACAACAGCAATAATAACCATTTTTATTATCAGCCAAATCCAGCCCAAACCATTCTCTGCTCCAAGGGGAAGGGTTCAAGGTCAAGTGGGACGGGGCTGGGATCAACATGGTCCTACTGGAACCCAAAATCCAACCAAATCGACCCAAAAATTCAACCTCAAAACCCAACTCAACCAACCCAAAGTCAACCCCAAAATCCAAACAAATCAACCCAAAATACAGCTCAAACAATCCAAAAATCACTTTAAAATCCAACCAAACCAACCCAATATCCAACAGACCCAACCCAAAAATCAACCCAAAATTCAACTCAAAAAATCTAATAAAAAAAATATCCAACCCCTAAATCCAACCAAATCAACCCAAAAATTCAACCTCAAAAATCCAACTCTACCAACCCAAATCCAACATAAAACTCAACCTAAAATCCAACCAAACCAACGCAAAATCCAACAAAACTGACCCAAAATAATCCCCAAATCCAACCAAATCAACCCAACTATTCAACCTCAAAAATCCAACTCAACCAACCCCAAATCAACCCAACATCCGACTCAAACAACCCCAAATCAACCCAAAATCCAACCAAATCAACCCAAAATCAGCCCAAAAAGCCAACAAAAACCCCCACCCAATCCAAAATCTGACCAAACCAACCCAAAATCCAGCCCAAACCATTCATTGGGCCAACGGGAAGGTTCAAGGTCGGTTGGCCATGGCTTGGAGCAACCAGCCTGCTTGGAGATGGTCCTGCTGGTGGCAACCCCATCCCAGCCAATCGGTGGTGGCCGTGTCACCGTGATGTCACAAGGGGTGTGGTGAGGGGGGGGTGGAGAAGGTGCTTGGGGGGGTGGGGTTTTTGGTGGGTTCCATTCCCTGGAGGAACCTCCACGTCGGGATGAGCGCCCACCTGCTGATGGTCCCCAAGAAGCCACCCGCTGGGGTGCGACGGACCAAGATGCATTTCTGGGACGGGCTGGAGGCCACCTTCATGATGCCCAGCGTCACCCCCGAAGGTGGGGGGTGGGGGTGGGGTGGGCCACCCATGGCTACCTCCTGGTGGCCCACGGTGTTGGGTGGGGGGTTGAGAACTGGGTGGAGGTGCCACCTTGACTGGTTTCTCCTCTGCTTTCCAGAGCGAAGGGCCGTCTGGGACGCGGTGGCTGCCCACCTTCAGGAGCAGCTCCTGCTGCACAAGGTGGGGGTGACACCCACGTCCTCCTCCTCTTCCTCCTCCTCCTCCTCCACCTGGGGGTGGGGGGGGGGGGGGGGGTCCCCATGGTCCCCCCAGGACAAGACCTGCCCTTCCTTCTTCTAAAAAAGCAGGAGACTCTCCCCAAAAAGTCCTCACTGAGGGATGAATGGAGGTGGTATCACCTCTGGGAGGGCTCATACTGGTCCCAGTCCCTGCCCGGACCCCGCCACTGGTTTTTCTGAGGTGGAGGGGGAAGGACTCAACTTCTTCTCCCCAAAGTTCTCCCCATGGCCTGTGGACAGGACCCAGCCTTGAAGCTCCATCCCATGGATGGAACCACCTCCAGATCTTCCCTCCGGCTGCTCCTCACCCTCCGACCCGTCTCTCCCTCTTCCAGGGGGTGCGAATTCCCACCCTCGGCTCCTTCGATGTTGTCCCCAAACATGTCCGTGTTGGAGATGAGGTGGTGACCATCCAGAATCCCAGGTTTTACCTGGCCAGGAACCTCACCATTGTCCACAACCTGATGGACAACAAGTCCTACCTGCCCGGTGAGATGGTTGGCGACTTCCCCTCTGGAAAAGCAGCTCCAAAAACAGAGGGGGGAGGTTTGGGAGGTGACACAATGATGGGGACATGTAGCCATGGGCCACCGGGTGACCTTCTTCACCCCTCTCCTGTGTTTCTTCCAGGCAACAAGGAGTTGGAGCCCCTCAAGTACTCCAAGGTGGCCACCTCCATGTCCCGGAAGAAGGTGGAGGACTGTATCATGGGGACTTTGTCCCTCCTCTCCCACTGCTTGGCCAAGGGGGAGAATGTGGCCCTAGTCCTCAAGGACGTGGGGTTGCTCCTCATTGAAGGCACCAAGGTGCGGATGAGGTTCTACCACAACTTTCTGGAGATGTTGTCTGGGAAGGAGAACTTGGAAAAAGTGCTTTTCAAGGTGAGGGGTTTTGGTTTCTCGGTGGGGCGGGGGAGGTCCACGAATATGTCCCCTCCATGGGGTCCATCCATGGTAAGCGGTACGGTCCCACCAACTCTGGCTGCCTTGAGCTCCTCCAAACTTGAATGCCTCAGCCATAATGAGGACATCCTGCCGTCTTTGGGTTCCTCCACTGTTGAGACTCTCAGCCATGATGAGAAGGTTCTGCCATTTCTGGTCTCCTCCAACACTGAGTTCTTCAACCATGATAAGGACATCCTACCATCTTTGGTCTCCTCCAACACTGAGTGTTTCAACCACATTGAGGAGGTCCTGCCATCTTTGGGCTCCTCAGACACTGGGTTCCTCAGCCATAACGAGGAGATCCTCCCATCTTTGGTCTCCTCCAACATTGAGGATGTCCTGACATCTTTGGGCTCCTCCAACGTTGAGTGCTTCAACCCCATTGAGGACCTTCTACCATCTTTGAGCTCCTCAGCCACGTTGAGGACATCCCGCCATCTCTGTGCTCTTCCATTGCAGGTCCCCAAGCTGCTGGACATGATGGTGTCCCCGGTGGTACCCGTGGCCTCCCTGACTTTCTCTGGCCGCGTCATCATCTTCCCCGAGTGAGTACCTTGGGGGCTGGAGCCGCCCTTTGATGGAGACACCCAAGGTGATACCAGCTCCTTGGGCCACCAGGGGTGTCCTCCCATGGGGACACCAGGCAGCCACTCCCCTTGACGTCCCCAGGCCGTGGTGGCCAGGGCTTCTCTGTCCCTGGGGATGGGCCATGGTGGATTTGGGAGAAGAATGGCCTTTCTGGCGATGCCAAACCTGATGGTGGCCATCCATGAAGGCCCTGATGGTGGCACCATGGGTCACGGGGGTGTCTTCTCCTCGTTTCCAGGTTTGTGATGGAGTCTGTGCCCAAACCCCCGCCCCGGCTTCTTCCCAAGACCCCTGGACCAGACCCCACCCAGGACCAGCAGATGAGGAAGGAGAGTTTGCCACCTCTGAGGAAGAAGAGTTTGCCACCTCTCTGGCAAGACGGGCAAGGTACAGCAGCTCCTGGACGTGGGACGGGCCACCACCTTCTGCCACCCAATGGGGATGTGGTCGACATCAAGCATCAGAAGACCCTGACTTGCCCCAAAGCATCAGGACCACCTCGTCACCACCCCTTGTCCCAACAACTCGTTGGGGTCACCAAAACAGAGTCCCTGGGGTGGGGTGTCCCCAAGGGTAGGGTGGAGGATGGTGGCCCAAGGCCTTCTCCTCAGAAATGACCCCTCAAAGGAGTCCCTGTCCCCTCCCCGGTTCCTCCTTCCCGACCCTGGAACTGCTGACGGAGTTGGAAACCCCCCCTTAGATGTTGGGAAGTGGGACAGGAGCCGGTGGTGGCTGCCAGGGGAGCAGAAGGTCCCCCTCTGGGACATCTTGGGAAGAGGCCTGAGCCACCCCCTGGGTGTCACCAGGGCCACCGGCGTCACGGTGACAGCTCCTCTGATGAGGTGTCTCCTTCCTGGTTCCAGTGAGATTTCCCGGTTTCCCCGTTCCTGGTGGCCCAGAGGTGACTCCGGGTGGAATCCCCATGTTGTGTGATGTCACGGGGGGGGAGAAGAAGAAGAAGAAGAAGAAGAAGAAGAAGAGGAAAAACTCTGGGGTCAGGTGAGGCTGGAGGTTCCTCAGGGTCGTCCTGGGGTCATTTTGCCCAGAAAGACGGGAGATACCCCCTCCCTGGAGATAGTCAAGGGCAGGTTGGAAGGGGCTTGGACCGACCTGAGCTGGCTGAAGGTCTCCTTGCCCATTGAAGGGGGAAGTTGGACTTGATGGACCTTCAAAGGTCTGTTCCCACCCAAACCATTCCATGAGTCCAATGGGAAGTGGTCAAGGTGGGGGCTGGGACCAACTTGATCTGGTTGAAGGTCTCCTTCCTCGTTGACAGCGGGGGTTGGACTTGATGGACCTTCAAAGGTCCCTTCCAACCTCAAACCATCCCATGAGTCTGATGGGAAGGGCTCAAGGTCTGGTTGGATGGGGTTGGGACCAACCTGATCTGGTTGAAGGTCTCCTTGAAGGTGGGGTTGGACTGGATGCACCTTCAAAGGACCTTCTCCTGGCTGTGCCAAGGGACACGTGGCTCATGGTGGGGAGCAGCAGGATGTGCCCCCCAAACCCACCCCGTCCTCAGGTAGACCTTCCCCCTCCTCGTGTCCTTCCAGGAAGCGGTTGGTGACGTCAGGGGACAACTCTGCCAAAGAGCAGCCCGGCATTGGCCAAGGGAAGGGCCAAGGTGGGCCCAAAGGTCCAGCGGCCCAGAAGAACCAGGAGGAGATGGTGAGAACTCACTACAGAGGAGGAAAAGGAGAAGGAGGAGGAGGAAAAAGAGGAGGACGAAAAGAAGAACGAGGAGGAGAAAAAGGAGAAGGAGGAAAAAGAGGAGAAGGAAAAGGAGAAGGAGAAGGAGGAGGAGAAAGAGGAGAGGACATAGTGGAGAAAATCCTGGCGGACCTGGCGGTGGGGAAGAAGATGAAGACCAAGCCCTCCCACCTTGGGGAAGCCCCCACCTCCCTGACCCCCATCGTCGCCGTATTATCGGCCACCAGCTCCCAGAGCAGTCTCCTGGAGGAACCCACCCAGAAGGTGACCTGGTGGCCACCACCCGGCCCCAGGGGGCAAAACCGGGGGCATTGAGTGACCTGAGGAAACCTTCTCAGGAGACCAGATGGTGGAGATGGAACTCTGGGGCCAACGGGGCTCCAGGAGGCCCTCGATGGACAACCTCTGGGTTGGCCCAACCAATGGAAGAGGTGACCAGTCCAAGGGCTGGGGGACACCCCTTTTTTAATGGTTCTCAACTGGAATGAAGAAGGGTTTTCCACTTGGCCACGGCCCACCTTGGTCCTGGAAGTGGAGCCACCTGAGGGACCTTCCCCGGGGACCTCTTCTAGGGAAAGGAACCTGCTTTTTGGGGGGCAAGAGAGGCCAACGGGGCACTTTGGAGCCACGCGGTGAAGATCTGGGGTGGCCCCGGAAGGGAATGGAGAAGATGGGGGTCCAGCTGGGAGGTCCTAGAGGCCACCAAGAGGCAGGTGGAGGCCACCTGAGCTTCCACCCGGGGCCAGAAGGGGCCAGGGAAGGAGAGGACTCAAGGGGTCAATTGTCTCCCCATTTATTTCCTACTCCTCTCTCCAATTAGGAAACACTTGGAGCAGATGCCCCCGTTTGGCCCATGAAGGTCACTGGTGGGACTGGGAGGAGCTGGGCTTGGCCACCCCCACCCTCCTGGGGCCTTATTTTTGTCTTAATTCATCCGGTTTTTGGCAACGAGGAAGGGTTTTCCCCCAGCAAAGGATCCCCTCGTGGTGCTCCCATGGGCTTGAAGGATCTCCAGAATGTTCACTTAATGGTCTTTACTGGTGGAGCAAGGGAGTCCCCAGTGTCCCAAGGGTCTTCTCCATGGGTGGGTGTTGGGGTGGGGGTCAGGAACTCTCCTGGTGTCCCCCTCCCCCCAAAACCCACCTGGATCCAGCTCCACAGGGTTCTCCTCCACCATCTCCAGTTTTGGAGCCACCCCTCCATGGAAGGGGGGTCCCATGGGGCAGGGGGGATGGTGGTTCTGATGTCTCCCTGGTGCCTCCTCGGGGTTAATAATAAAATTATTTTAATTAAGCTGGTGGCCATCCCCACAGTGACGCAAGTCACCATGACCATGCTGGTGACCACCCCATGGCCACACTGGTGGCCACAGACCTGCAGGACTGACCATCCTCATGGTGGCCATCATGGAAGCCATCCCCATGACCATATTGGTGGCCATGACCACGCTGGTGGCCACAGAACCACACGGATGACCATCCTCATGGCGGCCATGATGGAAGCCATCCCCATGACCACATTGGTGGCCACAGAACCACACGGTTGACCATCCTCATGGCGGCCATCATGGAAGCCATCCCCATGACCATATTGGTGGCCATGGCCATGCTGGTGACCATCCCAAGATCACATTGGTGGCCACAGGACCACATGGTTGACCATCCTCATGGCGGCCATGATGGAAGCCATCCCCATGACCACATTGGTGGCCACAGAACCACACGGTTGACCATCCTCATGGCGGCCATCATGGAAGCCATCCCCATGACCATATTGGTGGCCATGGCCATGCTGGTGACCATCCCAAGATCACATTGGTGGCCGCAGAACCACATGGTTGACCATCCTCATGGCGGCCATGATGGAAGCCATCCCCATGGCCACGTTGGTGGCCACAGGACCACACAGTTGACCCTCCCCACGTTCCCCATGACCCCCCCGGGGCACAGGTGGCTGGTGGCCACCCGGTTGCCACCCATGGTTGGTTGGTTGCCGCCGAGGGAGGAGCGGAGGCGGGTGCCGTAGCCAAGGAACCGGGTTTTATTCTGCTGCGGTTAAACAAGTGCCCGAGCCC